ACCCACGCGGGCGGGAGGGGGGAGGGTGGGGTGAGCCGGGCACTGACCAGGCAGCCGCTGAGCATTGGTGATGCTCCCATCGTGCTGGAGATCAGATGTGGTCTCGGAGTTTATCTAGGCTCTCCTAGAAAAGGAGGTCCAGCCCTAGCCAGTGTGGCTCAGTGGATAGAGCGTCGGCCTGCAGACTGAGGGGTCCCGGGTTCGATTCCGGTCAAGGGCACGGACCTTGGTTGTGGGCACATCCCCAGTAGGAGGTGTGCAGGAGCAGCTGGTCAATGATTCTCTCTCATCGATGTTTCTAGCTCTCTATCCCTCTCCTTTCCTCTCTTTAAAAAAATCAATAAAATATATTAAAAAAAAAAAAAAAAGAAGAGCCGAAACCAGTTTAGCTCAGTGGATAGAGCGTCAGCCTGTGGACTGGGGGGTCCCAGGTTCGATTCAGGTCAAGGGCATGTACCAGGGTTGTGGGCACATCTCCAGTGGGAGGTGTGCAAGAGGCAGCTGATCGATGATTCTCTCCCATCGATGTTTCTAACTCTCTATCCCTCTCCCTTCCTCTCTGTAAAAAAACCAATAAAATATATTTTTTTAAAAGAAAAAGAAGAAGTCCACCCTTATATATAGATCTTTTTATTTCTTTATTATTTTTATTGATTTTAGAGAAAGGAAGGAAAAAGGAGAGAGAAGGGGGGAAATATCCATGATGAGAGAATCGTGGATGGGCTGCCTCCTGCATGCCCCCCTCCATCCTCACCAGACCCTCCCCTCCACCCCCCACCCCCACCGCAGGGATGGAGCCGGCACCCGGGCATGTGCCCTGACCTCCTGGTTCACAGGTCGATGCTCAACCACTGAGCCACCGGACAAGACCTCATTTTCAAACAAGTCACATTCGCAGGCACCAGGGGCTGGCACTTCACCCTATCTTTTTTGGGGGGCGGAGGGCACAGATGAACCCTCAACACTTCTCAGAAATCTCGGCACCGGGCCTGGCATGGGGACGGGTGGGCCTGAGTGTGCAGGCCCCTCTGCTTCGCTGCAAAGTGCAGCCTTGGCCACGAGAGGCCTGGAAAGTACATCCAAGTCCCCACCAGGGGGCACCCCGTGACCGGAGAGTGGCAACGGGACCAGTGGTTTTATGCAATTCCCTCGTCAATCTCTTCCGAAGCTCGCTTTCCTTCAGGAGGATCAGAAAATGCGATAGCCCAGAGAGATTGGAGGGTTTTCTGATTTCCCATTCAGAGAGGTCCGAGCAGCCTTAAAACTCATTTTTCCGCTTATGGAGCCAAAGGGTGGGAGTCGACCTGTGCAGGTAGATTATTGGGGGGGCGGGGGGGGGGGCCCTCAGCATCCTTACAGGAAGACCCAGTGTTGTGAAGCCAAAGAGCCACTGGATCCACGATTTAAATGAGATCACACACCAAAAATTAAGTTGAGCCCGGGATGGGAGTCTCCCACACAAAAAATATGGACAGCTTAAAATTCCATAGTCTATTTCTTTCTTTTTATTATTGGCTGGAGGCCCGGTGCATGAAATTCGTGCATGAGTAGGGCTGATCTGTGGGGTGACCAGCAGGGCGATGGGGGGGATCCCCCTCCCCCTCCCCCCCACCAGCACCCATCTTGGCTGCCCTGGGGCCTATGGGCTGGAGGCAGTTCCTGCATTGAGCGTCTGCCCCCTGGTGGTCAGTGCCCATCATGGCAACCGGTCGTTCTGTCGTTTGGTCGATTTGCATATTAGGCTTGTATTATATAGGATTTCAGACAGGGAGGGAGAGGTGTGTGTATGTGGTGGTGGTAGTGGGGGACCCAAATTAGTGATGGGGAAGAGAGGGATATCTGTTTTTTTGGGTTTTTTTGGTGGGGTTTTGTGTGTGTGTGTGTGTGTGTGTGTGTGTTGTTGTTGTTGTTGTTTAACCCTGACTGGTGTGGTGCAGCAGATAGTGCGTTGGCCTGCGGACTGAAGGGTCCCAGGTTCGATTCCAGTCAAGGGCATGGACCTTGATTGCGGGCACATCTCCAGTAGGAGGTGTGCAGGATGCAGCTGGTCGGTGTTTCTAACTCTCATCGATGTTTCTAACTCTCTCTCCTTCTCCCTTCCTCTCTAAAAAAATCAATAAAATATACTTTTTTAAAAAAAGAAAATAAAAGAAAGAAAACCTGTATGACCAGAGCCAGGAGAGTAAAGGGGGGAGTAGTGGAAGAGAGAGAAGTCAGAGGGAGGCAGACCATGAGGATCTTACAAGGGAGATGAGGCATCTTGAGCAGAGTCTCATGATGGGACTTACATCACACACACACACACACACACACACACTCACACATCTCCCACACAGACTGCTGGAAGAGAGAAATGTCCTTTTTGTTGTTCTGTGTTTACATGGCAATGGGATCCCTCCAGCAGCAGCTGGGGAATGTGGGTGTCGGGTTTTTCTCTTATTCGTATGGGGAAGCTAGGGTCCAGGTGGAGGAGAGAAGCCACTGTTTATAGAAGCCTGGGCAAGAGAGGCATGCCAGCTGAAACCGGTTTGGCTCAGTGGATAGAGCGTCAGCCTGTAGACTGAAGGGTCCCGGGTTCAATTCCGGTCAAGGGCTTGTACCTTGGTTGCAGGCGCCATCCCAGTGGGGAGGGTGCAGGAGGCAGCTGGCTGATGTTTCTAACTCTCTCTCCCCCTTTCTCTCTGTAAAAAAAATCAATAAAATGTATTTAGAGAGAGAGAGAGAGAGAGAGGAATTCCACACAAATCAGTTTCCAATGGTATTTAGATGCACAGACCGTGCTGTGGGATAGTGTCAGCAGGCAGCAGCTCGCTCTGAGCTGAGAGGACTGAGCTGGGGGGAGGGGAGAGAGGGGGGGGCACCAATATTTCCTTTTCTAGTTGACACATTTGGCTCTTGTATTTGCACACTAAATGATTTCTTTGGGTGGCTTTTCCAAGACAAACAGCCCTTCCCAGAGGCCTGTACCGTCTTTGTTTTCCCGGGAGGGAAAAGCGCTCCCTGCTCTGAAGCAGCAGCTGCATTTTCCTTTCCGTCACCCTGTCCAGGTTCCCGAGATCTCGGGGTCCGGTTTCGGTCAGTGACCCCAGCGAGGGATCGCTGTAACCCAGGGAGGCCTTTGGAATCCGAAGATGTTTCTGGAAGAAGGAAGGAAGAAAAGCCTAGGTCTAAAGAACGGGGTCGCGGTCTCTTTCTTCTGAAATCGTTTTCGCCAGAATGGGTCTGCCTGGCTCCGGAGCGTATGCCAAACCAAAGGTGCAGGAAGCCAAACAAGAAAGCGACAGACTGCCCTAGCTGGTTTGTCTCCGTGGATAGAGCCTCGGCCTGCGGACTGAGGAGTCCCGGGTTCGATTCCGGTCAAGGGCATGTACCTTGGCTGCGGGCACATCCCCAGTAGGGAGGCTGTGCAGGAGGCAGCTGGTGGATGCTTCTCTCTCATTGATGTTCCTGACTCTCTACCCCTCCCCCGTCCTCTCTGTAAAAAAAAAAAAAAGCAATAAAAAATATTTTTTAAAAAGAAAGCGATAGAGTATCTGATCCGTAGAATAAGGATCCTCTGTGATTTGGGAGCGAGGATATTCATTTGAGGATCAGAAATAAAAATACAACGCAGAGCCAAGCAGACGTAGGGGAAGGGGAGGAACAGCGTCAGATAAGATCTGATGGAACCCAATGGACTTGGGATGGGGTGGGGGTGGGGGTGTACTTCCTGGCATTTCCCCCAAGGTCCACGTTCACCGGGAGCTCAGCCAAGGCCTATTTTTATTCTGCTGTGTCTTTTGAACACGGCTGGGTCGGATGAGCTATGACGTGACCCTGCTCCTGCTCCGATGATGACGCACACTCCCAACCAAAATGTCCTTCGCCACGAGAGCTCCTTTCTCCATTTCCAACGCAAGGGGACCCTGAATTCCTCCCCGGACCCCTGATCGTAGAAATGCGTCTCATCCGAGGGCCAGGGGTGCCTCCTGCCGCTGAGCCACGCTGTCCACAGCGGGACACCGAGGGGCAGGGCCTGCAGGCTGCGGGGACGCTGGTGTACAGACAGGGACCCACCCCCTTCAGCTTCTGTCGGTGTGGCCCAGATCCAGCGCGCCCGACCTGGGAACCAGGCAGGTGCAGAGCAGAGGGCTTGCCTGTGTGCAGCCCAGGGCTGGCCTCCTGGTGGCACATTCACCACGGTCCCCTGGCTGGCTCCTGACAGCCGGAGAAAGGTCTTTCCAGGCTGAGAGCCGCATGGGACGAGATCATGGGCTGCCTGATGCCCATGCATCCAGCCAAAACCAGTTTGTCCGTGGATAGAGCATCGGCCTGTGGACTCATGGGTCCCGGATTCGGTTCCAGTCAAGGGCACATCCCCGGTGGGGAGTGTGCAAGAGGCAGCTGATAGATGTTTCTCTCTCATTGATGTTTCTGGCTCTCTATCCTTCTCCCTTCCTCTCTGTAAAAAATCAATAAAATAGATATTTTTAAAAACCAAAAACCCGCATCCAGAGTCCCAACAGCTGCTAGAGGGATCCCATTAACATGTAAACAGGGGGGAGGGGGAAAAAACAAACAAAAAAACATGTAAACAAACACACAACAGACGACGGCGGCGGCCTCTTCATTGACTGTCTCCCCCCTGGGCTTCCTCTGGCCAAAAGCTGAACCCCAATGCCCCCTCCCACCCAGCCCCCATCACCCGCGGGGGCCGTCCCGCCCACTCTGAAGCCAGCCAGCCGCCCGGACTGCGTGCGCATGCGCAACCGCAGGGGGCGGGGCCTCGCGAGCTCCAGCGGCCCCTCCCCTTCATCTTCCCGGCGCGGGGCGGAGTGCGCCTGCGCGACCGCGGGGTAGGCGGGGCCTCGCACTCTCTCTCGCCCCTCCCTTCCCTGCGCCAGGGCCCCATCCGGCCGGAGCGGGGAGGAGTGCGCCTGCGCGGCTGTGGAGTGGGCGGGGCCTAGCTCCCTTTAGCCCCTCCCCTCCCTGCGCCGGGGCCCCCATCCAGCCGGAGCGGAGCCGAGTGCGCCTGCGCAGCGGAGCCGGCAGAGTCCCGCGGGGCCGCAGCGGCGGGTGGCGGGCGGTTGCCTTGGGGACCGCGGGCCCCTCCCTCCTCGGTCCCCGCCCCACGGCCTTCGCCGCCACCGCGACGCGGGGACGACCCCGGCCTCCCCGCCCTCCTCCCGCCGCCCGGCCGGCGCTGCAGCCGCGACCCGCGCGAGGCGCCGCCGCTCCCAAGATGTCGCAGACGGCCATGTCCGAGACCTACGGTAGGCGGCGGGCGGGCGGGCGGGGGCGCGGGCGCGGTCCGCTGCCCCCGTTTCCGCCTCCCCTGCGGCCCGGGCGCCTGGCCCGGGATCGGGCGGCGGCAGTGGCCCCGGGGGCGGTGGGAGGGCCGGGGGCGGCCCAGCCGGGCCCCCGCCCCCGGTCGGCGATGCCTGCGGAGCCCGCTTCTCTCCCTCCCTGTCTCTGGTTTGTGGAACGGCTGCGGGTCCCTGTGTGTAAAGGTGGCTTTTTCAAGCCGGGGGCACCGTCCTGAGCGTGTGTGTGTGCGTGTGCGTGTGTGTGTGTGTGTGTCTGTGTGTGTGTGTCTGTGTCTGTGAGTGTGTGTGAGTGTGTGTCTGTGTGTGTGTGTCTGTGTCTGTGATTGTGTGTGTGTGTGTGAGTGTGTGTGTGTGATGTTTGCGATCAGAGCCTCCCCCTCCCCCGGCCCATATGCGGGGGCTCCGGCCGGCTCCTGCCCTCCAGCCGCTCGGGGGGCCTCCGCGTCCTCCGCGGGTCGCCAGCCCCGAACCCCCGCCCCCGGGTGGGCGCCTCCGGGCGGGGGCCTGGCGAGTTCTGATCCGGAGCTTCTGCAGTACTGGCCCCACTGGCCCCACTCGTGCCTCCTCCGCGGGTGCTGGCGCCGCCCCCCCTTCCCCCCCCGGAGCGGGGCTCCGGGCTGCTGGGGCCCACTGTCTAGTTGGGGGGGTGGGGGGGGGCCGGGAAAGTGGGGGGACACGGTGTTCATCCAATTACTACGGCTCTGATGAGTGGTTCAAGGCCTGGCAGGACCTCTGAAGGAATGCGGTCTGTGCAAGGGCGGTACAAAGAAACCCGACCCGGACAGACAGCCCTGACCCAGCCTGGGGGGAGGGGGGCCCCCCAAGATCCGACCCGCCAGCACAGCAGATGCACATGCCCAGGCCCTGAGAGAGGGACGTCCCCTAAGCCAGTGGTCGGCAAACTCATTCGCCCACAGAGCCAAATATCAACAGCACAACAATGGACATTCCTTTGGAGAGCCACATTTTTTTAACTTAATCTTCTAACGCCGTCTCCAGCATAGACTCGCCCAGGCCGTGGTGTTTTGTGGAAGAGCCACCCTCCAGGGGCCAGAGAGCCGCGTGTGGCTCCAGAGCCGCAGTTTGCCAACCATGGCCCTAAGGGAGGGTGGTAGGCCGTGGGGGGGGGGTGCCCTGGGGAGGAGGGCAGGGGTGAGGCAGAGAGGACCCCAACAGGCCAGGGGCGCTGGCTCCTGTGGTGGGTGCGCGCTTGGTGGCACTGGGGGGCAGGGGGCCTGTTTCTCAGCAGGCTCTGGGGACCCTCCCGGAAGTTGCTGGCGGCCTAAGGACCCCGCCTTGTCAAAGGTGCAGGAGCTTTTACATGGCACCCACCTGGGCCCGAACCCCAGCCCCCTCTCCCAAAGCAGATGGCTTCTCTAGCGGTTTGGGGTTACACACTTGCTCTTCTTTATTTTCCAGCGCCCCCGACCCACCCCCCTTTTTCTTTAGCCCCGGGGAGGTCAGGGAGGAGGGGCGGACCCCCAGGGGGCTGGAGGGTGCAGGAAGGGGCGCTGGGCGGTCGGTTCGCCTTCTCTGGATGGTCACCTTGAAGTGCAGCGTGCCTGGCGCATCCCTGCCGGCCTTCGGAGTTCCTTGAACTTCTGAGCAGCACCGTGACCGCTGAGCTCCGATCACAAGGCTTCGATTGTTAGGGAGCTTGCTTCGTGGCACCTTCCGGGCGGCCTTTTCCTCTTTACCAGCCGCGTTTAACCTTTTCCTGGGAGGGCGGAAACCACTCGAAAGTTCGCGTCAGAAAGAGCAAGTGTGGCCGTTGAAAGTGAAAACCTGAAGGTGGAAATCACGCCGAGCCCCGTCCTTCTTGCCGCTGACCTGTGCCCACATCCTTCCTGCCAGGAAAGCAGGGCCCCCTTCCCGAGTCCGTCCCCAGCAGCTGCTGAAAGAAGTGTTTGCCTTCCCTTCGCCTCCTTTCTGCTGCAGGCGCCCTGTGTGTGCTGTGCCTCCCCCGGGATAACACGAGAAATAAAGAGCCACCGCTCAGGGCGCTGGCCGTCAGCCCCCTCTCCCTGCCGCTGCCCACGTTAAAGCGGCATTTCCCCTTTCACAGGCTGAGCTGGTCAGCCTTGGTGCTCAGAAGCCACTAACCACGGCGTAGACTTGACACAATAGTGTGATACAAGTTTGCCATCTTAAGTGCGGAGGTTTCAGATGGAGACCTTGCATCTGGATAATCCTAAACTGACTGTTCCCAAATGTTCCATTCGCCCCATTCTTAAAGGCCTGCGGGTTCGCACTGGTGAGACGGGGTCGCAGATGGACTTTAAGTCCTTTCTGGCCGGTGTGGCTCAGCGGGTCGGCCTGCGGACTGAAGGGTCCCAGGTTCAATTCCCGGTCGGGGCGCATGCCCCGATTGCCGGCTCCATCCCTACCAGGCGGCGTGCAAGAGGCAACCATTCAATATTCTTTCTCACCAATGGTGTTTCTATCTCACTCTCTGCCTTCCCCTCTGAAATCGATCTTATCGATAATAATAAAAGCATAATATGCTAATTAGCCCAGGCGTCCTTCCGGACGACCTTCCGGTTGAAGCTGGGGCTGCGAGGGAAGCCGATGCCAGTTGGGGGTAGGGGGAGGCCTGCTCTTGCATGAGTTTTGTGCATCGGGCCTCCAGTAAAAATATGTTTTAAATTTAAAATAAAGTTGTTTCTGATACCAAGAGTTGTGAGGTAGACCAACAAATCCAATAGGTGTTACCAAGCCAGGATGCTCAGAAGGGAGCTGCAAAGGATAAATGGCAGGTGTGGCTCAGTTGGTTGGGCATCCACACCTGCACCAAAAGGTCACTGGTTTGATTCCCGGTCAGGGCATAGGCCTGGGTTGTGGGTTCCATCCCCAGGAGGGGGCGTGCAGGAGGCAGCCGATCCATGATTCTCTCACATCAATGTTTCTCTCCCTCTCCTTTCTCTCTCTAGAATTTATTAAAAATATATTTTTAGCCGAAACCGGTGTGGCTCAGTGGATAGAGCGTCTGTCTGCGGACTGAAGGGTCCCTGGTTCGATTCTCGTCAAGGGCACGTATATTGGTTGTGGGCACATCCCCAGTAGGGGGTGTGCAGGAGGCAGCTGGTCGATGTTTCTCTCTCATCGACGTTTCTAGCTCTCTATTTCTCTCCCTTCCTCTCTGTAAACAATCAATAAAATATATTTTAATAAATAAATAGATATTTTTAAAGTATAAGTAGTGCAGAAAATGCTACCAAAAATATTTTAAGGGCTGAGGCAGTTTGATAGGAAAAATCAAGACAAATCTCTACACAGTGGAGTTTTCTACAGTGAAAATTCTTTATGAAACAACACAAATTGTTGGTTCTATGCTAATTATTATTATACTCAATATTTTTTTGTGCTTGGTTTTGAACGTATTATAGTATTTACCGTGTAATTTTGAGAATTACTGGGAGTGTGTGTGTGTGTGTAGAGGCTTTTACGGGTGCACTGTGTTCTCCAGAAGACATGCTCGGGCCCTCACCCAGGTCCCCGTGACCGGCCTTGTCCGGCGGGGCGCTGTGTGGGTTAGGTGAGGTCCTGCTGGGTTAGGGCCCTAACTCAGGGCCTGGTGTCCTTATACCTCGGAGGATGTGTCCCAGGCACGTGCGTGGAGAACGGGGTGTGCATTCAGAGCCGGAGACTGGCACCCAGGCCGGTCAGGTAGCTCTGTGCCAGCAGAGTGGAGGGAGGCCCGGCCAGCGCAGCGAGCCCTGGTGGGGAGGGGTCACTCCGGTGTGACAGGCCGAGCCAGCGTGTCTCACTTCCTGCTCCCTCTCGGGGCTGTGTTCCTGGCACTCACAGAGTCTTAAAAAGCAGCCTCACAAAGTGCCGATGGATTATGGATGAGGATGTACTTTAGAGGGAAGTCTGTCGTGTGCGGATGAATTTTTAATCACGCGGCAAAGACATCGGGACGGACCAGCTAAGCATCTCTCCCCTGTTCCCACCACACCATCGCGATCTGCAGTGTCCTCCGTGTGTGTCCTGCTCCCTGTCCATCGCGCTGTGCACGGTTCCCAAACACGGCCTCAGGGAACCCGGAGGGCCCTGTGGGACCCGCGGGAGGGGGTGTGCCGTCCTCTCAGGACAGAATAGGGTCCCGCGGGCAGGAGCGCAGGAAACCCCTCGCACAGACACAGCGGGTCCTGTCCGGGTGGTGGAGTCAGCCTCTCCCGTGGGCACAGCATGAACGGGGCCGGCAGGAAGGCCCGGTTCGCAGACAGCATGGCCGCCCCGAGGACGGCCTGGTGCCTGGGGCGAGAGCCTGACGACCAGATGGAGGGACAGATGGAAAGACGGGCCCTGGGGCGCCCTGAGGGCACTGCGCTGAGCCCAGACGTGGCCAGGCCAGGGCTGGCACGTCACTGCGCTGACGGGGGTGTCAGGAGAGCTGGGTCCAGTCAGCAAACATCCCCACGCCCAGCCTGCGGCAGTGAGTAAATATTTGTTAAGTGAACGCCCTATTCCACAGCAGGCTCACCACCAGCCTGCTGACGATGGGCCCATACGGTCAGACATAACAGTGCGCTCCACTGCCTGCTGTCTGTGCCCTCCCTTCCCTCTTCTGCCTCCCCAGCCACATGCCCTGCTGCTGCCTCCGCCCCCCAGCCCCGGGACCAAACATGTGTCATGTGACATGCAGGTCAGCGTCCGTCCTGTGCTCTGCTAACTCTCACTGCGTTACCCGGTGACCCCGAGGGGGGTGTCCCGGATGCTGAGGGTCACTGGATGCGGCAGCCTTCTGTTTTTTATTCAGAGAGGAAGGGAGAGGGAGAGGGAGAGGGAGAGGAACATCAGTGATGAGAGAGAACCATGGATCGGCTGCCTCCTGCACGCCCCTCCCTGGGGATCGAGCCACACCTGGACATGTGCCCTGACCGGGAATCGAACCGGTGACCTCCCGGTTCATAGATTGATGCTCAGCCACTGAGCCACGCCAGCCGGGCAGGACCCTGCACCTTTTCTTACTTAGCTTCTCTTTCAGGGTCAGAACCACCCCCCGAGCCCCCACCGTGCTGGCTCACGGGCATTTGAGCAGAATCTCTGCAAACATGTCATCATCTGCCGCACGGATTCCTCGTCAGGACCTTTGCTGTCTTATCTCCGGGCTGGCATCACAGCCCAGCCGCTCCCTGAGCCAGAAACCGGGACGCCGCCTCGGCTGCGGCCAGTCCCTGCCGTCAGGGCCCCCCCCCCTGCTTCCGGTCTGACCTCTAAACCTTAAAGCAGAAGCCACGGGAGCAGCTGGGAAGGCAGGGTCAGAGGCCATCTCGGGTGCCAGCCGGGCCTTCATTTCCTGGAGGCCCCGCCCGTTCCCTGCTGTCAGGGGGGATGTGTTGTGCCTGCAGCTCACACTCCGCTCTGTGCTTTCCATCTGCTCTGCTCTGGGCGGGCAGGTCGCCTGCAGGGACCGTCTCCAGGAGGTTTGCATCTTTCCAAATGGATCCTCCTACCATTGCACCCCGCCAGTCCCGGGCGCCCCTGCCTCTGCCTCTGAGTGATGGCCTCCGGGTTCCCGTGGGCGTGGGCTGGCTTGTTCCCCGTTAGCACTGAACCGGGGTTCATCTGTGTGCACGTGTCAGAGCCTCTCTCGGCGAAGGCTGAGGCACGTGACATTGTGCGCACAGCCCGTGCTTTGCTTCTCGATCCCTCGATGGCCGCTTGCGCTGCTTCCTTCCTGAGGCCCCTGGGAACGATGCTGCTGTGAGCACGGGGCGGCTGCTTTTAAAACACGCCACGAGAGCATACATGGACGGCAGCCATTCCGATGGCGCTGCCTGTCATTGTAACTGCCTGTCGCCACTTGAAAACCATCTGAGGTTGAGTAGACTTAATCTTTGAGCGAGGATGTAGTTCTTCAGAAACAAGTCAAGGCCAACATCACAGAGACACAGACGGTCTGGGGTCCACTGGGGAGAGGAGGCGCCAGGCTAGGGGCGCGGTGGGTTCTGGAAAGGAATGGGGAGGCCAGGGGGTGGGGGGGGGAGGGGGAGGCGGGCGTAGAGAGCAGGGCCACCCGGAGCGGCAGCAGAGGGAGCGGTCGGGGTCCCAGTGGGTGGGAGCGGGTTGGCTCAGGCTGAGCGGAACCCGGGTGTTGAGCTAACGGAAGGCAAAGGGGTCAGCGCACAGTGCAGCCGCCGGCGCTGCGTCAGGCTGGCTGACTCCCGCTCTGGAGGCCCGTTTTGTGGAAGACACTGCCCCGTTACCGCAGTGCTGTTTAAAGAGGGAACGGAGAGCTCTGTCTGGCCCGGCCGGTGTGGCTCAGTGGTGAGCGTCGACCTGTGAACCAGGAGGTCACTGTTCGATTCCCGGTCGGGGCACAGGCCCGGGCTGCGGGCTCGATCTGTGATTCTCTCTCATCGTGGATGTCTCTCTCCCTTCCTCGCTGAAGTCAATAAAAACAGATGTATATTTTTAACTCCTCAGCACCTGCTTGAAGGTTATTTTTCACGGTCTCTTTGTTTTTCAGATTTCTTGTTTAAGTTCCTGGTTATTGGAAATGCAGGAACCGGCAAGTCGTGCCTGCTCCATCAGTTTATTGAGAAAAAATGTAAGTGATCGTGACCCTCCGCGTGACGCATGCCTTCCGGGCACACTCCTGCTCCGCTCCTTTTTTTAAATATGTTTTTATTGATTTTTTCACAGAGAGGAAGGGAGAGAGATAGAGAGTTAGAAACATCGATGAGAGTCATCGATCAGCTGCCTCCTGCACACTCCCCCTGGGGACGTGCCCGCAACCAAGGTCCATGCCCTTGACCGGAATCGAACCCTGGACCCTTCAGTTCACAGTCCAATGCTCTATCCGCTGAGCCACACCGGCCTCGGCAATGTATTCTTTTTCATACAAACAACTGTCACCCTACTTCTGCCCACCTTGTGTGAGACCCCTGGGTGAGGGTGAAGGGAGGGAGAGACAGCGTGGGGAGAGCAGGGGCTGTGCGCTGTGACTCAGACCCTGCGTGCTCACCAGCCCGCTGCCCAGTGGGTGGCTGCGGGAATGCCATTCTGCGTTGGTTAACCCTTGACCTCTGCCGCCTGCTTCCTGAGAGTTCTGAAATGGACTGTCTTGTTCTTTTTCTCTTCCAGTCAAAGATGACTCCAACCACACCATAGGGGTGGAGTTTGGTTCGAAGATAATCAATGTTGGTGGCAAATACGTGAAGTTGCAGATCTGGGACACGGCCGGCCAGGAGCGGTTCAGGTAGCGCTCTCTCTCGGACGTAGTGGGATGTCTGAGCCGCATTAGGAATGCTCCGTTACTGTGTCCTCCCGGCCGGGGGCCCACCATGCCCGCAGGTGTCAGGGACTCACCTCAGAGCCTCCGGAAACAAGCGGAAAGTCAGTGTCTCTCCCGCAGCATCCATTTCTTTTCTTTCTTTCTTACTAATATATCTTACTGTCGTCAGACAGGGAGGAAGAGGGAGAGAGAAGCATCAATGTGAGAGAGAACCACGAACCGGCTGCCTCCTGCACACCCCACACTGGGGATGAGCCCACAACCCGGGCCTGTGCCCTGACCGGGAATCGAACCGTGACCTCCTGGTTCACAGGTCGACGCTCACCACTGAGCCACACCGGCCGGGCGCAGCATCCATTTCCTAGAGGGTCCATTGAAGTCTGTTCTGAGGCAGTGCACCTGTTAGAGAAGGATTGTCCCGCCTGTGTCCCTGTGACAGAATAGCTCCCGGGTGTCAGCTGTCTGAACTGCGTCTCCAAAAGCGGCGCCTCCTGTTGGCAAAGCCCCGTGGGTGCCTCTGAGCAGGAAGAGGGTGCTCGGTCAGGTCTCGGGGGAGAGTAACCGTGCGCCTCTTCCAGGTCTGTGACCAGAAGCTACTACCGAGGCGCTGCTGGGGCCCTGCTCGTCTACGACATCACCAGGTAACGCAGCCCCGCCAGAGGGGGCGCGCACACTCACACGGGGTGCTGGGTGCTGGGTGCTGGGTGCTGGGCGAGAGCATCACGTGTCTCTTAACACGATGCTTGGACGCTTCCCCAAAGACCCTCGAGTGCAGCCTCACCAGGTCAATTGTTAACAACACGCTTTTTCATGTTTATTGATGTCAGAGAGGAAGGGAGAAGGAGAGAGAAACATCCATGATGAGAGATAATCAGGGATCGGCTGCCTCCTGCACGCCCCCTACTGGGGATCAAGCCCACAACCCCAGCTCTTGACTGGAATTGAAGCTGGGACCCTTCAGTCGGCAGGCCGATGCTCTATCCACTGAGCTACACCGGCCAGGGCCATTAGCAACACTTGCCATTGACCGCGGTTGAGGGCACAGGCGGTGGCTTCGATCGCCTGGCAGCGTGTGGGGCCCTTGGCTGTCACCCGGGGCCGTGGCGAGGGGGTGGTCCCCGTGGGGTGTCTGCAGAGCTCGGGCACAGCCTGAGGCTCGGCCTGCACTGCCCTCCGCACGCCCCGCACGTCACAGTGACGGGCATTGAGCGCTCCGGGCCTCCCGCCCCACGCCCGGTGCTTGCCCAAGGAAGGAGGCCCTTCGCCTCGGGCACCGTCAGGGGCAGACGGAGCAGCAGGCCCTTCCGGAGGCCGCAGTGCGGGCCTGTGGGTGGTGCCCAGGCCGCTGGGTGTCGGGACCTGAGGTGCTGGCGCAGTGTGAGGTGGGGCGCCCGCAAGAGTTGCTAGTTTGTAAAATACATGTATTATCCCCACAATCTTATGTTACGCAGCCGAGAAACCTACAATGCGCTTACTAATTGGTTAACAGATGCCCGAATGCTCGCCAGCCAGAACATCGTCATCATTCTCTGCGGGAACAAGAAGGACCTGGACGCCGACCGGGAAGTGACTTTCTTGGAAGCCTCCAGATTCGCTCAGGAAAATGGCAAGTGACCTTTGACCTGTGGCTGCTCCTCTGAGTGCTGGTCCCGGTGCCGGTGCTGCTGAGGAAGGGCAGGCTCCTTCCAACATTGAAAAACGCATAGTGACACTGAGAACTAGCGGTTTAGCAGTCTGCCTGCTACCCTGGGGCAGTGGTCAGCAAACTGTGGCTCGAGAGCCGCGGCTTGCCGCTCTGTTGACGAACGAGTCTGCCGCCCACTGGACCAGACTCAGTGTTCCCGTGTAGCTGGAAGCTGAGAGGATTGACACGTGTGGCACGTTGTGTGCAGAGCTAAAGCGCAGCACATGACGGTGCCGGCACGCTCACTCGTCACCAGCAGCAAACCGGCCACGGCCCTGGGGACACTGGGCAGACGTGGGACTGAGCCACGGATCGCCTCCTGACGTGGCCGTGCCCGTGTCTCCTGTCCCCTCAGAGCTGATGTTTCTGGAAACCAGCGCGCTGACGGGGGAGAACGTGGAAGAGGCCTTTGTCCAGTGCGCGAGGAAGATCCTGAACAAGATCGAGTCAGGTACCCCCGGCGGGCTCCGGGCACGGGCGGTGCCACGTGCCGCGCGGGTGGCCTCCTGTCTGGTCCGCGCCTGCGTGTCGGGGCGGGCTCCGGGGACCTGAGCTTCGGGGGGAGGGGAGGCCGCCCCCCCTCCTGCGGGGGCAGCGTGGACGGGGGCTCCTGGCCCTGAGCCCTGCCTGGGGCGGTCATACTTGGCGTCAGCCTGCCAGCCTGAGAGGCGAAAGGGGTGTCTCCCAGTTTAATTTCCCATTGACGTACCTTTGTGTGCGCAGTAGAGTCACACGAATTCCAAACTCGACACGTGCGGGACAGGGCACAGGGACAGCCCCTCCATCCTGCCCGCCGTCTGCAGGCAGCCGCTGTTACAGTTCCCTGTGCTGTCAGGCCTTCTCCCTGCGCAGTGAACGTGTGTGCACTTCCTCCCTGGGGAAGCAGCGTCTGCGAGCACGGGTGCTGTCCCTGAGCATGTTGGGGTCACACCTGTCCTAAGACGTGCCGTCCCCCAGGTGAGCTGGACCCCGAGCGGATGGGCTCCGGCATCCAGTACGGGGACGCGGCCCTGAGGCAGCTACGCTCGCCCCGCCGTGCCCAGGGCCCGGGCGCCCAGGACTGCGGCTGCTAGGCCGCCGAGCAGAGGTAGGTGCAGGCACGGTCCCCGCACCCTGTCCCGCACCCTGTCTCCCACCTGGGCCTCCCCGCACCCTGCTCCCCGCCCGGGCTTCCCTGCACCCTGTCCCCCTCCCGGGCCTCCCCACGTACTCGCCGCCCGGGCCCCCCCACACACACCCTGTCCCCGCCCGGCCCCCCCCCCCCACACACACACACCCTGTCCCCGCCCGGGCCCCCACACCCCCACCCTGCCCCCACCCAGCCCCCCCACACACACCCTGTCCCCGCCCGGCCCCCACACACACACCCTGTCCCCGCCCGGCCCCCCCACACACACCCTGTCCCCACCCGGCCCCCACACACACACCCTGTCCCCGCCCGGCCCCCCCACACACACCCTGTCCCCGCCCGGCCGCCCCACACACACCCTGCTCCCCACCCGGGCTTCCCTGCACCCTGTCCCCTTCCCGGGCCTCCCCACGTACTCGCCGCCCGGGCCCCCACACACACACACACACACCCTGTCCCCGCCCGGCCCCCCCACACACACTCTGTCCCCACCCGGGCCCCCCACACACACCCTGTCCCCGCCCGGCCCCCCCACACACACACACCCTGTCCCCACCCGGCCCCCACACACACACCCTGTCCCCGCCCGGCCCCCCCCCACACACACCCTGTCCCCGCCCGGCCCCCCCACACACACCCTGTCCCCGCCCGGGCCCCACACACACACACCCTGTCCCCGCCCGGCCCCCCCACACACACCCTGTCCCCGCCCGGCCCCCCCCCACACACCCTGTCCCCGCCCGGCCCCCCCACACACACCCTGTCCCCGCCCGGGCCCCACACACACACCCTGTCCCCGCCCGGCCCCCCCCCACACACCCTGTCCCCGCCTGGCCCCCCCACACACACCCTGTCCCCGCCCGGGCCCCACACACACACCCTGTCCCTGCCCGGCCCCCCCCCCCCCACACACACACACCCTGTCCCCACCCGGCCCCCCCACACACACTCTGTCTCCGCCTGGGCCTCCCACACACACTCTGTCTCCGCCTGGGCCTCCCCACGTGCTCCCCGCCGGGTTTGCCCCGTGCTTCACGCAGGGGCCGTCACACGCCTTCTGCAGCCACACGTGGGGAGGAGCGGTGACTGCGTCCTTAAGTGTTAGACATTCTCAGGCGTGGACTCCTCCTCAGGCTCACAAGGACAGGCACCAAAACAGACCACGTCTGGGCTGTAAAACGCACGTTACATGTCTAAAAGAAAAATGCCGTGTCTGTTCCCGGCCAGTCAGTAATAGAAGGATGGCTGGGAAATCCATGATGCATGGAAATCAAACAGCATCCTTCTGAAGGACTCGCGGTGAGAGAACCCTAGGCTGCCTCCGGCACACCCCCTGGGATGGAGCCCACAGCCCCGGCCTGTGCCTGGCTGGCATTGAACTTGACCTTCTGGTTCATAAGTCGACACTCAAGCACTGAGCCTCACTAGCCAGCAAGATTTTAACGTTAAAGCTTCCTCCTCTTCCCCATTTCCCTCGGGGGCTTTTTACAGGTAGGCAGACATTAAATAACGGGAGTATTCACCACTCCCTTTGGGGTTTAAGCTGCTTGTACACTGGCAGTTATGCATATTTCTAAGTTTTTCTTCCTATTCTGTAGGTGTTCGGACAGCGGTGTTTGGGAAACAGCTGCTGGAGCGTGAAGAAGTGTGTGTTTTACCTCCATCCTTTCTACTTCGTGCAGAAGTAGATCTTCAGCGGAAAGGAAGGGACTGACTGGGCGTTCCCTGAGCCTGGAAGGTGCTCAGCAAACCACGGGGTGAATGGGATTCGGTGGACAGGCCACTGACGTGTCCATGTATGTAACTGTCCTGTCCGGTGGCTCCCTTCCCGGGTGAACCTGGCTATGTACTGTGTATACCCAGCCCCGAGCCCTGAGCATGGAATCTCCTGTGTGACATAATAGAACGTCACCTCAGTGCGGTCCGATACTTTATCTCTTGTAATCACATGACCAGCGCCCGCTGTGTGCGAGGCTCTGCCATCACGCCGGCCGTCCCTGTGGGTGACGTTCGCGGCCACGGCGTTCGGGCCCGCGGGGAGTGCTGCTCAGTGGTGACTCACGTCCCGAAATAAAGTCCAGATGGAGTTTTCCTACAAGCCCGGCTGTCCCGCACTCTGATTTCAAAGCACCTCGTCCGGATCCATCCGGATCCGTCCGAAGGAGGCCCGGCCCCTGCTGTCTGGGCACCGTGGCCCCGCCCGGACCCGGCCCCTCACCAAACGGCTGCTCAGCGGAGGGTGGCGGGGGGCGGGCCCCGGGCCTCACTGCCGCCTTCCGAGCCGCCCCTGTCCCGATCCCTGTCCGGAACCACCCAGTCAGGTGACATTAAAGCAATGCCACCGAGCCGGTCACACATGAGGGTCACGGAAGCACGAAGACTGTTCTCCTCTGTGTAACCGGCCATTCAGACCCATAAGGAGCGCCTCCCTCCAGCGGCATCAGCGGGGCCTGAGCTGGAGGGAAAAGGCCCCCCATACACCCCTGGGCCCTTCCCGGCTGACGCCCACCCCCGGGGCCGCCTGGAAGAGGCCGCCTCTGTCCAGCTGTCTCCCTTCGGCCTCTAAAGACCCTGAGGTTCCACCCCGGAAAGCCAGAGCGCCAGGCGGTGCACAGGCAGGAGTTTTAAAGAGGCTGTGGCGCTGCTTTGTAAACCAGCCTGTTAGTGCCGTGGTCGGCAAACTCGTTAGTACGCAGAGCCAAATGTCAGCAGGACAACGATTGACGTGTCTCTGGAGAGCCGCATGTTTTAAACGTAAACTACATAGGCAGGGACATTGCTATGAACTTACGTAGAGTCCTCCTAAGCTGGCCTTTGCAGAACACTCGAGGGCCAAAGAGCCGCATGTGGCTCGCGAGCCGCGGTTTGCCGACCGCTGACCTAGACTCTGGATTCCAGTAATTGCAGGCTGTTCCTTCTGCGGAAGGCCCTGTGGCAAACATCCGCATTATTCACGGTACGCCTGGTAAAACCAGATTGTGGTGGGAAGTGCGTCGTCTTGCGGACATCTTTGGAATTGCGTCTGTTTAAACTTTTTTAGGCCATTCCAAAGCAAACCTACAGGAAATTCACCTGCACAGAGACCTCTCTTCACGAGCAATCTGAAATGACCCGTGTGATACCCCCCCAAAAAAATTTTTCTTTATTTTCTCCCAAAATCTTCAGGGGCAATTTCCTATAAACCAGGGCCTCCTCCTGCACAGCCATCAGCATCGGGTGTTCACGCTGATGTGTCTGCCGTCCAGTCCCCTGACAGGATGGCCATGTGGCCCGTTGTCCCAGGAACGCCCTCGGCAGGCGGCCAGAGACCCCGCTGACACCCCCTTCCTGGGAGAGGCGCCCTTTGCGTGGAGTCTTCACCCCTCGGTCCCCCTCCTGGAACCTGTCAGACCCGAGCGCTTTCACACTTTGCTGAAGCGGCAGATACTAATGTCTGGAATCGGGGACCCTCCAGGCTGCAGAGACGCCCCCGGAACGCAACCAGAACCGGGGACGGAGCCAAGGCGCCCCGGACCTCTGAACCCCAAGAGATGGGGGGCTGGGGGGACCCCCCTCCGCAGGGGTGGATCAGACCCATGCAAATGCAGTGTGAGCCCTAGGTTAATGCGGTGCTAACCCTGAGTTAACAGAGTTAACAGCCCACAGCCAAGCAGTCCTTCTCTCGCGGGCACAGCGATTGCACCTGTGTGCGTCCGGGCAGTGTGGCTCAGTGGTTGAGCTTCCATGTAGAAACGAAGGTCACCGGTGAGATTCCTGGTTTGAAGCTCCATCCCCGGGTGGGGGTGCAGGAGGCAGCCGGTCAGTGATTCTCATTGTGGATGTTTCTCTCTATCCCTCTCCCTCCTGAAATCATTTTTTTTTTTTTTCTGAAATCAATTTTTTTTAAAAATTCTTTTCTTAAAGGGAAGTGCAGGGGCGGCTGTGCCAGCTTGCGGGGCTGCGGGTGGGGATGGCCTGTCAGGTGAGGGGCAGTGGCAGGAGGCCTGGGAGGAGGCACTTCAGGAGGCAGAGGAATGAGTGTCTTGGGAGGACCCTGTGCTGGGGCCGCCTGACTGTGGCTGCAGGGTCACAGGCTGGGGGTGAGGGTTGGGGAGCGGAGTCCCTCCCGAAGGACCCGGAGCTTCCAGGGCCTGGTAAGTTCGCCTCCAATTCTCAAGCAAATGTGCTTCTTGTCTCTGTTCTTTGGAGCTTTGACTGCAGAGGAGACCGTTAAAGCCACCGATGCCCTCCGGCCGGTGTGGCTCAGTGGTTGACCTTCGACCTATGAAGCAGGAGGTCATGCGGTTCCATTCCCGGGCAGGGCACATGTCAGGCTGTGGGCTCCATCCCCAGAGTGGGGTGTGCAGGAGGCAGCCGATGGAAGGTTTTCTCCAACCCTTGGTGTTTCTCTCTCTCTCCCCCTCTCCCCTCCCCTCTGAGACCCAAAACATATTAAAAATAAAAATAAAAATACTTTCTTACAGCCCAATAAGCAAAATGGCAAGTGCACATGCGATTTGATACAAATGCTATTTTGAATGACAATCTTCAAAACTTCATGTCATATTTTCTGAAGGCGTTCACATCGTAGGTATTTTAACGCCTAAAAACGTCGAGTTTAATGCCAAAGAAAAGAGCATTTGCGGGAAGTTTTAGTTCATTACTAACAGCTGCCTCTGTGGAGGGAAATCCCGTTATTAATCCATATTCCTGGTAAGACCACTTCTGTGATGTTATGTCGCCGTCTTGTGGACACAACTGGAATTGCACCGTTTGTTTAAATTTTTTTTTTTAGCCACCCCAAAGCCAAACTACAGTAAAGTGACAAGCATAGCACAGAGATGTCTCTTCACGAGCAACCTGAAATTCCCCGTGTGATACCCTGTGACCCTGCACATATTAATAATTTTTTTCTCCCAAATACCAGGGGCAATTTCCTATAAACCAGGGCCTCCTCCTGCACAGCCATCAGCATCGGGTGTTCCCTCTGATGCGTGTCTGCTGTCCAGTCCCCTGACGGGATGGCCATGTGGCCTGTGTCCCAGGAACGCCCTCGGCAGGCGGCCAGAGAGCCCGCCGACACCCCCTTCCCGGGAGAGGCGTCCTTTGCATGGAGTCTTCGCCTCTCCCGGTCCCCCTCCTGGAACCTATCACAGACTGAGCGCTTTCACACTTTGCAGAAGCGGCAGATACTAATGTCCGGAATCGGGGACCCTCCAGGCTGCAGAGACGCCCCCGGAGAACACAACCAGAACCGGGGACGGAGCCAAGGCGCCCCGGACCTCTGAACCCCAAGAGATGGGGAGCTAGGGGGACCCCCTCCGCAGGGGTGGATCAGACCCATGCAAATGCAGTGTGAACCCTAGGTTAATGCGGTGCTAACCCTGAGTTAACAGAGTTAACAGCCCACAGCCAAGCAGTCTTTCTCTCGCGGGCACAGCGATTGCACCTGTGTGCGTCCGGGCAGTGTGGCTCAGTGGTTAAGCTTCGACCTGGGAACCGGAAGGTCTCTGATCTGATTCCTGGTTCGATGCCTGGGTTGGGGCCGCCATGCCTGGTGTGGAGGTGCAGGAGGCAGCCGATTCTCACCATGGATGTGTGTCCCTGTCGCTGAAATAAATGAAAATGGGTTTTTCTCTCAGAGAGAAACGCAGGGGTGGCTATGCCAGCTTGCAGGGCTGCGGGTGGGGATGGCCTGTGAGGTGAGGGGGCAGCAGCAGGAGGCCTGGGAGGAGGCACTTCAGGAGGCAGAGGAATGAGTGTCTTGGGAGGACCCTGTGCTGGGGCCGCCTGACCGTGGCTGCAGGGTCGCAGGCTGGGGGTGAGGGCTGGGGAGCAGAGTCCCTCCCGAAGGACCCGGAGCTTCCAGGGCCTGGTAAGTTCGCCTCCAATTCTCAAGCAAATGTTCTTTTTGTCTCTGTTCTTTGGAGCTTTGACTGCAGAGGAGACCGTTAAAACCACCGATGCCCTCCGGCCGGTGTGGTTCAGTGGTTGAGCATCGACTTATGAAACAGGAGGTCATGCGGTTCCATTCCCGGGCAGGGCACATGTCAGGTTGTGGGCTCCATCCCCAGAGTGGGCGTGCGGAAGGCAGCCGATGGAAGGTTTTCTCTAATCATTGCTGTTTCTCCCTGTCTCTCTCTCCTTTTCCTTCGGAGATCCCTAACGTACTAAAAAAAAAAAAAAAAAAAAAAAAAAAAAAAAAGTTCGCTGCAACCAGTTTGGTTCAGTGGAAAGAGCGTGGGCCTGCAGACTGAGGGGTACCGGGTCTGTTTCCAGACATGGGCATGTACATTGGTTGGGGGCACATCCCCAGTAGTGGGTGTGCAGGAGGCGGCTGGTCCATGTTTCTCTCTCATCCGTGTTCCTAGCTTTCCATCCCTTTCCCTTCCTCCCTATAAAAAAATCAATAAAATATATTTTCTAAAAAATAAAAAAATAAAAAATAGACTTTCTTAAATCCCGGTAAGCATGATGGCAAGTGCACATATGTGGATGGATATATGTGCGATTTGATACGGATGCTATTTCGAATAACTGTCTTCAAAACTCCACGTCATATTTTCTAAAGGCGTTAACATCATAGGTATTTTAACGCCTAAAAACGTGGAGTTTAATGCTCGAAAAAGGAGCATTTGCGGGGAGTTTTAGTTCATCATTAATAACTGCATCTATGGGGGGGAAATCCCCGTTATTAATGGATATACCTGCTAACACCACTTTTGCGATGTTATGTCGCCGTCTTGTGGACACAACTGGTATTGCAACATTTAAACTTTTTTTTTTTTTTTTTTTAAGCCATCCCAAAGCCAAACTACAGTAAAGTGACAAGTACAGCACAGAGACGTCTCTTCACGAGCAACCTGAAATCCCCCGTGTGATGCCCTGTGACCCCGCAAACGTTTTTATTTCTTCTTCTTCCAAATAGCACGGGCGATTTCCTGTAAACCAGGGCCTCCTCCTGCACAGCCATCGGAATCGGGTGTTCACACTGATGCGTGTCTGCCGTCCAGTCCTCTGACCAGATGGCCATGTGGCCTGTGTCCCAGGAACGCCCTCGGCAGGCGGCCAGAGAGCCCGCCGACACCCCCTTCCCGGGAGAGGCGCCCTTTGCATGGAGTCTCCACCCCTCCCGGTCCCCCTCCTGGAACCTGTCACAGACTGAGCGCTTTCACACTTTGCTGAAGCGGCAGATACTAATGTCTGGAAACGGGGACCCTCCAGGCTGCAGAGATGCCCCCCGAGAACACAACCAGAACCGGGGAACGTAGCCAAAGGGCCCTGGATCTCCAAACCGCAAGAGAACGGGAGCCCGGCTCCTCCATTGCTCTGGCCTGGACGCCCAGCAGCTGGCTCTTTAAGCTGGCCTCAGCAATTCCTGTTGCTTAGCGACAGGCGCAACGCACGCTGGGAAGTGTAGTGGCAGTGGACCCGGTGTTTGCCCGGAAGTGCGTCACGCGTCAGTCGCGAAGCACGCTGGGAATTGTGGCAGCGCCGCCGCTTTGCATGCCGGGAAGTGCGTCTTGCGTAGCTCGCGTGGCATTCTGGGAAGTGCGGCATGCGTCGGTCGCAAAGCACGCCGGGAAGTGTGGCAGCGTCGACGCATGCGTGCCAGAAGGTGCGTCTTGCGTCGTGTTGCGTGGCATGCTGGGAAGTGTGTCAGGTTTTGGTGGAGAGGTAGACCGGAAGTGCAACTGTTTGGGAGGCGGGACAAGACGGGAGGTGCGTCTCGGCGAGCGCGGGGCACGCCGGGAAGTGTGTCCGGGGCCGCATTGGGGACTGTGCGTCGGGAGGACAGGGCTCCGCGGGCCGGAGGAGGTGGAGGGAGGCGGCGGGATGGCGGAGCCGACGGCGGAGCGGATGGAGCGGGCGGCGCGGGGCACCGAGGCCGTGCGGGGCCGCGAGCCGGGCTGCGGGGTGAGTGCGGGCAGCGGGCGGCCTCTGGGCCCCGCGGTGGGCGGGCTGCGCCGGGCCATCCCGGGCGCGTCTGGCCGGCGGGGCGGGGACCATCCCGCGGGCTCCCGCCCGGCCGGCGGCTTGGGGGCGGGACTGGGGTCGCTCCCGGCCCGGACCCGTGGGCCCGTATTCGGTGCGGCCTCGGGGCGCCGGGGCTCGGTCTGATCCGCTCGAGCGCCGACCCCAGCGCCGAGCGAGCGGCTGATTCTCAGGAAACACGGTGAGCGATGGCGTCAGAGTGGGGACAGGGCACGTGCTGGAGCTTTTCTTCTCTTTAGAGAGAGGGAGAGGATGAGAGAGACATCAATGATGAAAGAATCATGGATCTGCCGCCTCCTGCAGGCCCCCTACCGGAGATGAGCCTACAACCCGGGTCTGTGCCCTGATTTGGAATTGAACCCGAGACCTCCTGGGTTATGGTCTGACGCCAGTCACTGCGCCACACTGGCCTGGCCTAGGTGAACACTTCCTGAACGAATGCTAGCTTTCTGAACCAAGCTACCGGGCAATTCTGCTAATGTGCTGCAGCACCTTTTAATTTCATGAGTACCCGTGGGCTTTTTTTCTCTAATTCACAGGATATAAAATCCCTGTCATCCAGAATCTGGGTGCGACCTTATACCAGTCGATGCCATTGGTTTTCTGACGATGAAATCCGCAAACTGGACGCTTCCCCTGCCGAGGAGGCTGAAGACCCTCCTGGGGAACAAGGGCAGGACACGGTGAGTGTCTGCCGGGCCGGCGGTCTGGTTCCCGGTGTGAACACTGCACGTTTCCTCTTTGGAAAAGGCATTTTCCCGGCCCAGGAGTGCGGAAGCTCGGGGTATTGGTCCGCTTGTTCGCTAGAAGCCGATCAGGAGCCGGAGCGGGAGGACAGGACCAGGGGGCCTCGCTCTGGGGCAGCCGCAGTGGAAGGTCTCAGCGGGGTCCGCTCTCCTCCCACAGGGTGACCTGCACCCGCTGGCGTCGCTCAAGCCGTTGACCTTCCTGAGGGAGGAGACGACCCGGTGACAGTGAGTCCTTTACAGCAACTCCCTGCCCGGCCTCGCCCCGACCAGCCAGTGAGGACAAAGGGGTGCTGAACGGAACTGGAACTGGAAAAGGTTTAACATTTTAAATATCTATTTTTTCTTAAAATTTCACAAGTCTTCTCTTTAGTTTTAGCTGCTCTAGAGAAGGGAAGGGCACCTTTCACACACAGTCCTGCCCAGCACTGTTCGTGACCTGTGGCCGTGCTGTGGCTGACGGGTTCCATTCCAGTGCGACAGCAGCCCCACGGCCAGACCCTGACTGCCTGACTGATGGTGGCCGTCAGTTTCAGGTCTTGGAGACAAGCATAGGGGTGGGGAGAGAGGGGAGAATAAAAAAAGTAATAATAATAAATAAATATATATATATATATATCTCAGCCCTGGCCGGTGTGGTTCAGTGGTTAGAGCGATGCCTATGAGCCAGGAGGTCCCAGTACATTTCCTGGTCAGGGCACATGCCTGAGTTGCAGGCTCCATCCCCATTTGGTAGTGGGTGTGCAGGAGGCAGCCAATCCCTGATTCTCCTCTTTGATGTTTCTCTTCTTCTCCGAAATCAATAAATACGTAATGGTTCTTTAACTACCATTTTTTTCCTGCCAACAGCCTTGTGAGGGGCAGCTGTGTTCCCGACTGAGCCGGGCACCTACTTGGACTCGGAGCTGATCCGATGCGGGCACTGCCACCCCACCTGCAGGACCTGCGTGGGTGAGTGCATGGCCGCACGGGCCTCGGCGTCGTGGGGCCGACAGTCCTGGAACCCGGGTTACCCAGGGGGTGGGTGGCTCCCTGTCTTGGACCTGAGGAAGCCTTAGGACCTCCTGGGTGGCCGTGAGGTTGCGAGGTTTGTGGATCAAATACCAAGATGGGGGTGGGGTTGCTCTTGATAGGCATTGAGGGTGAATTGGGGAAGTTGCAAAGGAGGTACGTGCCCGACTGTCCATCCTTTTATTTATTTTTATTGATATCAGAGGAGGGGAGAGGGAGAGACCTCACCGATGGGAGGGAATCATGGATGGGCTGCCTCCTCCCGGCACTCTGGGGATTGAGCCCACACCCCAGGCATGTGCCCCGACCGGGACTCGATCCTGGAACCTCCTGGAGCGGGGGACCCGGTCCCCATCCAGCCGCGGGAACCTGTCCCCTGAGTGTCCCCCGACAGATGTGACGAAACTGCCTGAGCTGCAGCCGCTGCAAGGCGGGCCTCGCGCAGCTGGGGGCCTCGTGCGTTGCGACCACACCTGCAGCAACGGGGGGCGGGGTGGGACGGGCTGGGACCCCCGTGGCACCTCAAGTCTGACCGACCCCCCTCTTCTCTCTCTTCCTTAGCCGACGAGACCTGCAGATGGTGAAGTCCAACCGGCTGTGTGAGCCCAAGCTCTTCATTCTGCGGTGACGTCCCTTCCAACTACAGCCGCCGCCTCCCCCCCCTCCCCCGGTGCGCCCCACCGGGAACCCCCACGTCCACCAGATCTCCAGGCCAGGCGGAGCGGCAAGCACGTGGCCTCCCCGTCACTTCCCGGCTTCCAGCACCTCCAAGGCCAACCCGCTGGCGTGAGGGGCCGTCCACACGCATGACGAGGGGCCCAGCTGCCCGTGTTCGTCCACCCGGACTGTGAGCGCGACGGCCAGACCTGCGTCCGGCGTGTGGTTCAGCTGCTCCGGCCCTCACCGAGGGGGCCTGTGGACCGAGCCCCGATATTTCCCTGGAAATGCCGCGAAGGGCTCCCGGGACCTAGACTAACCTTTGCCTTAAGCTTGCTCTCCAGCTTGTACGTGTCTGTGGTTTCCGGCCCCCCTCGGGCGGGCCATCATGCATCTGACGTGTGTCGGGGAGCAGGGGGAGCCCTCCACAGGGGTGAATCCATGACACACAGCAATGCAGTGTGAACCCTAAGTTAATAAAGAGTTAACAGCCCAGCGAAGGACTCTCCTGGGCACAGCGATTACACGTGGGTGCTGCTTGGCCAGTGAGGCTGTGGGTGAGCTTCGACCTCTGAACCAGGAGATGACGGGGCTGATTCCTGGTTCCATACCCAGGTTGGGGGATCCATCCCCAGGGAGGAGGAGGCAGCGGATCAATGACTCATGATTAATGTTTCTTCATCTCCCTTCCCCTCTGAGATCAATAACACTGAAAATAGCAAAAACACTAAACCTTTTTAAAGCCCAGCAAGTGAAGTGGCAAGTAAAACCAATTTTGGCCAAAGCCGGTGTGGCTCAGTGGATAGAGCATCTGCTTGTAGACAGGTCCGGGGTTCGATTCTGGTCAAGGGCATGTACTTTGATTGTTTGCACATCCCCAGTGGAGGGTGTGCAAGAGGCAGTTAATCGATGTTTCTCTCTTCTTGATGTTTTTAACTCCCTCTCCCTTCCTCTCTGTAAAAAAAACAATAAAATATATATATTTTTTAAAAAAATATGTCATTGTCTTTATTGAGGGAATCATGAATTGGGCAGCAGCTAGAAGGGGACTCAGGAGGGTTGTAAAAAATGGCAGGTTTTTAGAGGAAGAAAGGTGGGGGCAAAGGAGCTGTTGAAAGAAAAAGGAGCCCTGGCCGGTGTGGCTCAGTGGATAGGGCGTTGGCCCCTGGACTGAAGGGTCCTGGGTTCGATTTGGTGTAAGGCAAGTGCCTGGGTTGCAGACTAGGCCCAGCCCCCTTTTGGCAGGTGCAGGAAGCAACCAGTCCCTCCTTTCCTCTTATCTCTAAAAATCAATAGGAAAATATACTCTGTGGGGATTACCAAGGAAACAGAAAAACAAGAACGGGGGCATTTGAGATCTTGCTCCCCAGTATATGTTAGTGTGGCTCAAATAAACACATAAAATGGGAGAAATAAGGGATTCTCTAAGTGTTTTTGTTTGTTTTAGATGAGAGCCTCTGGAGAAGGGAAGGAGGAGGGTTTTATCACATTGCATCTTCTTCCTGTGGTGGGGACTGTGACCATTACCTTGCTGGCGCCCCATCAGAACTTTCCAAACTGGTTGACTGTTTCTGGAAGAGGTTCAATCAGCAATTAAGTCAGGCACTAAAACGAGCTTGGTATCACGGGGGCCTAGGGTCTCTCTCTTTAAAAATCACATTACTGATTGTCAATTAGCCGTTGAGACAGCTAGGTGTGTTCCCTTCCAAACCTTCTGAAACACACACACACACACACCACACACACACCCGCAGTCACATGTCCAATAGGTTCAGCGAGTCTCAGGTAGTGGGTGCAGGATGTGGTGGGCAGAGGGACGGGCTGTCATGCCTGTCACAGTGACACCAAGCGTGTTGGGGCATCGCAGGGATCGTCCCGCCCAAGAGGCCTGGATCGCGGACGGGAGGAGACACGGCTAATCGCCGGCCCTTCTCAGCCTAGAAGGTGCCGCGGGCGGCGGCGGGAGCGGGCCGAGCGGCTTCCCTACAAGCGTCAACACTGACACGCGTCCCAACCGCGCTGTGCCTGCCACTCTGTGGCTGTGCTGCGACGCCATTGGCTGGAGAGGCCGAAGCCACGCCCCCCGAGCGCACGTAATATATACGTGGGGGCGGGCCTAAAGCCGAAACCCGGAAGTCAACAGCGGCGCCGCGGCCGCCACGGAGCCGGACGGGGAGACGCTGTCGGCGCGTCCGGCTCCGGAATCGGAGGGGCTGCGCCTCCTGCGCGTCACCGGTGAGTCGCCGCGAACCCCGGGGCCCCGGGGCCCCGGGTGGCCGCCGCCATGGGCGGTGCGTGGTCCTCCGCGGCGCGCCTAGCCGGGCCGGGAGGGGCGGGGCCTGGGAGGCCTTTCCCTCCCCGAGCCGCTCTTCCGGCGGCGGCGGCGGCGGCTTCCGGCCGCTTTATTTTTATTTTTATTATTTTTTTTTTATTGAAAAGCAAGCCCCGTCCTTGCGGTCCCTGGGATCCCTGGGCGAGTGCCCGGGTGTGGGAGGCCTCTGCCCGCCCGATCCAGAGGCTCCGCTTCTCTTGATCCCCCGGGAAGCAGTGCTTGTCTTTTCTGTTTCTCACAAACTTCTTTCCTTTGTTTTGTTTTTGCTCGCAGTGCGCCCCCTGCTGGCCGCATCCTCTCACTGGCGGTCTCTCCGAAGCTCTCCGCCCGCCTGAGGGCCTCCGGGCAGAGGCGGCCGGCCCGGCGGCAGCTGCTGTGGGTTAGTACCTGGTTCCGACAGCAGATGACGCTGCGGTCGATGGAGAGTAAGGAGCACCGGGTGCGAATCAGCGTATTAGGAGGGGAGGGGAGAGGGCGGGAACCACTTTACAAACGAACGGAACGTGCGATCGGGTTTCCCAGGGCTAAGAGGTGTTTCCTGGAGGAGGATTAGGTTGGAAACGTCACTCACAGGCCTGCCTGTTAACCCTCAGGCCTGGAGGGAGGGAGGATGGAGAAACCCAGGTGTGGGTTGGTTAGGTCCTCCTAACACTCTGTTCTGATTGGTTTTCACAATCCTTGCCTCTGAAAGGGTGGCCTTCTCGCCCATCAGACCGGATGCTACCGTTTCCATAGCAGCAGCATCAAACACACGTGGTCCTGCATTGGAGTCACCATGGTTACCCAGGTTGGGGGGGTGGGGAAGAGCAGATGTCCTAAAACTCCTCAAGCCTGCCTCTCCTTCCCCGTGGGCCGTGGGCCTGCACGCCCAGTCAGCCTCTTGGCTTGTTGGCTGTATGGGCAACAAGAAATGACAAAGTCCGCCGAAACCGGTGTGGCTCAGTGGATAGAGCGTCGGCCTGTGGAGTCACCATGGTTACCCAGGTTGGGGGGGTGGGGAAGAGCAGATGTCCTAAAACTCCTCAAGCCTGCCTCTCCTTCCCCGTGGGCCGTGGGCCTGCACGCCCAGTCAGCCTCTTGGCTTGTTGGCTGTATGGGCAACAAGAAATGACAAAGTCCGCCGAAACCGGTGTGGCTCAGTGGATAGAGCGTCGGCCTGTGGACTGAAAGGTCCCAGGTTCCATTCCAGTCAAGGGCATGTACCTTGGTTGCAGGCATATCCCCAGTCGAGGGTGTGCAGGAGGCAGCTGATCAATGATTCTCTCTCATCATCGATATTTCTAACTCTCTATCCCACTCTCTCTTCCTCTCTGTAAAAAAATCAATAAAATATATATTAAAAAAAAAGAAAAAAGAAATTACAAAGTCCAAGTGTAAATCTTTCAAGCAGGCTGAGAGTGGTGAAACAGCCCCAAGCACCCACCACAGCCACACACCCCCCCCACCAGGAACCCTGCAGGGAAAGGTGTATGCTATGGCCTATCAATTTGGGGCAGGAAAATGTCGGTTAAATAAAGGACACTTGGTTGATTTTATTCTAAGCTGACTCAACAGTTAGCAACGTCCCTGTAATCATACCTCCCTCTCTCCAAAGTGGAAGTATCCTTTTGATGCCTTTTATTTTTATTTTAAATCTCTTGATTTCAGAGAGAGGGATGGATAGAAACTTCAATGATGAGAATCATTGATCAGGCCCCTTACCTGTTTGGCTCAGTGGATAGAGCGTCAGCCTGAGGACTGAAGGGTCCCAGGTTCCATTCCGGTCAAGGGCATGTACCTTGGTTGCAGGCACATTCCCAGCAGAGGGCGTGCAGGAGGCAGCTGATCGATGTTTCTCTGTGATGGATGTTTCTAACTATCCCTTTCCCTCTCTGAAAAATCAGTACTGTATATTTTTTAAAATAATCATTAATCAGCTGTATCCTGCATGCCCCTCCCTCTGGGGATGGAGCCTGCAACCCAGGCAAGTGCCCTTGACTAGAATCGAACCCAGGACCCTTCAGTCCACAGGCCAATGCTCTATCCATTGAGCCAAACCGGCTAGGGTTTGTTTCCTTTATTAAGTTTCACTCATCCCTGCCATCCCCCCCCCCACACACACACATACACCCACACCCCTACATCCCACTTGATCATGACACTTGACCCGTGTTTTCTGTGGATTCATTCAGCTAAGGGGCCTTGTTCCTATGCTGTCTATAGGTAGTGATGTTCACCTGCCTGTCCTCTAAGCGGTCATGATGGAAATATAGACCTTCTCATGCTGGCAGGAGGGGTTTTTCTTTTCTGTGAAACCATGATAAAAAAAATACCTGAAGATTGCCAAAACTGGTTTGGCTCAGTGGTAGAGCGTCGGTCTGCGGACTGAAGGGTCCCAGGTTCGATTCCGGTCAATGGCATGTACCTTGGTTGCGGGCACATCCCCGGTAGGGGGTGTACAAGAGGCAGCTGGTCGATGATGCTCTCTCATCGACGTTACTAGCTCTCTATCTCTCCCCCTTCCTTTATGTAAAAAATCAATAAAATATATATATTTTTAAAAATACCTGAGGATTGCCCTAGGGGATTTGGCTCAATGGATAGAGTGTTGGCCTTCGGACCGAAGGGTCCCAGGTGTGATTCCGGCCAAGGGCACATTCCTGGGTTGAGGGCTCGATCAGTGATTCTCATATTGATGCAGCCAGTGATTCTCATCATTGATGTTTAAAAAAAATAATACACACACACACACACACACACATATATATATAAATATATATATATATACACACACACACACATATATATATATAATTTTTTTTACTGCTTTTTTACAGAGAGAAATAGTTAAAAACATCAATCACCTGCCTTCTGCACACCCCCTACTGGGGATATGCCCACAACCAAGGTACATGCCCCTGGCTCAGGTCAGGGCTCTCAGCATTGATGTTTCCCTCTCTTCCTCCCTCTCCCTTCCTCTCTAAAATGAATAAAATGTATTAAAAAAAAATACCTGAGGATCTCGAGCTTTCTGGTGTCAACCTGGACTCACTTGCCAGTGGTCATGACGAAGACGTGATCTTTCCGGGCTGTCTTCTGGAATTCTGGTCAACCTGGGCGCTGGGTGCCGGGAGGTATCCCGGCTGTGGACTGACAGCCGAGCGGCCCGTCATAGCACTTGCATCTCAGGGCTGAGCCCTCCAGGTGTCTCTGAATTTGCAGTTGGGGGGGAGGAGGGCAGAAGTCGGCATCTCTGGGAGTTTCCGGCGCCGTGGGGCAGCCCCCTCCCCCGGAATCAGCCAGAACAGACGCAGAGGGGTCTTTGGAACCGTGTGGACTCCGGAGTTTCCGTGGCACACAGGTGCTTACCTTCCCCATTCTTCTCTCCCCGCAGCCCCCGAGGGACGTTGTGAGAAGGCAGGAGGCTCGAGCGGCCGCACCTGGAGGTGCAGGAAGAAGTAAACGCCCAAGGAGAAAGAAGGGCACAAGGAGAAACCAGGAAAGGTAGAGCTGCTCCCCACTCAGCACAGGCGGGGAAACACTGAGCACGGGGGCCAGTCCTGCATCCGGCAACGCTCTCCTTGTGCGATTTGTTCGGGGGAAGGGGGCGCAGGAGGAGGGCTTTGAGAAATGTCTTGGGCTTAGGTTTTTGCTTGTGAGTGGCTCTCCCGGCAGCATTTCAGCCACCGTGTGCGCGTGGCGGCTGTCATGTGTCACGACAAGAGGACACATTCCATGTCAAGCTGTGGGTCTCACATGGCCCGGCGTGCCGGGCGTCTCTTTAGGGGACGGGAGGAGAGAGCAGGGACAGGCTGTTGGGTTTCGCCCAGGGCTGAAATGGCGTTTTGAAAGATTTGTCGGGGGCCCTAGGGGAGGGGAAAGGAAGAACCGAGGATGGAGGATGAGCTGTGAGCCAGTCTGTCCCGGCGAAAGGAAATGCAGACTGACCTGCCTCTTCCTTCCAGCGCGGAGGCTCCACCCGGCTCGGCTGGAACCCGGAACGAGGCTGCCCGGGTGCCGGTAACCCACCAGTTGGCCCTAGCCCTTTTCTGGGACTAATTTCTTGAAGCATAAACTAGGTCAAAAAGAAACCATGGTGGGTGAAGGGGGTCCTCAGGGCTTACAGACTTGGAGAAGGCAGGCTGTGGTATCTATCGCAGGCAGGCGTTAGGCAAGTAGGGAAAAGCAAAAAGAACCAAAAGACAATTCCTGGAAGATTTCTCCCCCAATAGGAAATCGCACTAGGAGAGCATCAGACCCCTTTGGAGGCAGAGGGTGTCGAGGGCCTGTGACCCCGTGGCTGCGAACTTTAGAAGCCTGGTGCCAGGGCGGGCGGTGACTGCAGTGGGGTGGTGGGGCAGGGGCACCCGCCCAGGTGGGGGTGCTGGTTGCTTTTATTTGCTCCCCGAGCACCGTGCTTCCACCTGATGCTCGCCCCCCTGCCAGTGCCGGCTGCCGGCTGCCGGCCCCGAAGCTCCCGAGGGTTTCTCCCCTGCTCCTGCTCCAGTTCCTGCCGGGCAATTGGGGCAGTAGCTGCCACTCGCACCCGTTGCTGGTGGCCCCAATCGCTCGGCGCTGTGCCGGTGGGAGTGGGGCTGCCAGCGGACGGGCCTGGGGGGTGACCTTGCAGCCCTCAGTTCCTTTCAAGGTGAATGAGGTGGTGTATTTGGCCCCTAGTGAAACTTTTTAAAGTGTAAAGCCCTTGCTGGGGTCGACCAGATGGCCCAGCGAAATTTGGCCGCCAGAACGGGGGAAGCGTCCGGGGGTGCTGGGTGGCCCAGAGCTCTCCTGAGCCCCGTTTTTTTGGGGAAAAAGGCCGGCTCCGGGGTTAGATGTCCCACCGCCGCACGAGGTCGACCTGCAGGCCCCAATGCAGCCAACACGGAGGTTCCAAAGTGACATCTATTCTCGAAGGGATTTTTTTTCTTAGAGAAGCCAGTCAGTCCACGCAAAAGCGGCCCCCAACTGCACGCACACACGCCCCGGGCCTCCCGGGGACGTCCATCCGTGCTGTGGGGAGGTCGCAGTTGGTCACAAATATTATTTCTGACCTCCAGGCCCGTTTCTGCTCTTCCCACTGGGCGTGCGTACATGCAGAAACGTGCCTGGAGGTCAGAAATGCCGTTTGTGACAACTGTGACCTCCCCACAGCACGGACGGACGTCCCCAGGAGGCCCGGGGCGTGTGTGCGTGCAGTTGGGGGGTCGCTTTTGCGTGGACTGACTGGCATTTCTGGAAAAAAAAAAAAAAATATCCCTCCGCGATTAGATGTCACTTTGAGCCTCCGTGTTGGCTGCATTGGGCCTGCTGGTCGACCTCATGCGGCGGAGGGATATCTAACCCCGGGGCCGGCCTTTTTTTCCCCCCTGCAAAACGGGGCTCGGGAGAGCTCTGGGCCACCCAGCACCCCCGGACGCTTCCCCCGTTCTGGCGGCCAAATTTTCGCTGGGCCATCTGGTCGACCCGAAAAAAAAAAAAAAAAAAATTTTTTTTTTTAGGCCATCTGGTCGACCTAATTTCGCTGGGCCATCTGGTCGACCTAATTTTTTTGGGCCATCTGATCAACCTCAAAAAAAATTTTTTTTGGGGGGGGGGGGCCATCTGGTCGACCCCAGCAAGCCAACCCCTTTCCCCCCTCACACGCTGCTTGGAGGAAGGGAGAAGGTGAAATGTGGGATACAGCACCCACAAGGGAAAACCTAGAGGCCAAGCCTGAAGCTGAGCCCCGAGAGGGAGACACAAGCCTCCCTCCCCTTTCAAGGATTTTCTAACGCCACCATCCAGCCTTTACAAGAAGCCTCTTCCGTGGGGAAGAGGTAAGGACCAAAACCCCTGCAACTTTCTGCCCCTCCCTCTCCCGGATAGGCGCCCGGGGAAAGGGGAAACACTTGCCCAAAACAGCCTGGGGGCTATTAGTTACAAACCTGCCCTTGTGGACCCCAACTAGCAAAATAAAGTCCACCGAACGAATCGCAACCCTTTGTGGGCGTTTTTCACTCGATACGCCCCTTTCACACACTGGAAACACGATCAAAAGCTCAGCGAGCTGGGCCCCCCTCAAGCCTCCCAATTTCAGCTCACTTACCGCTGCACTGAGGAAGGCTCCCCAGGGCAAACATCAGGGCAAAGCGGGCAAACTAGCACACCCCTGGCCAGCAAGAGCAGCCACCACACACTGGGCCCAACCTCCAGCGCCACAAGAACCAGTCTGGGGAGCCCAGGGAGAGGCCCACCTGAGCGCCTAAGGGCATCACAGAACTCCCGGGGTGAGAACCGCACTCCCCCCTTCGGGCACCGGAGCCCGCAAAGCAGCCCGAGGAGGGGCCTGCAAAGTGGGGCCAACCAAGCACATTTGACCGAGGCGTAGGTCACACACACGGGTAAGAACCGCACTCACCGCCTTTGGGCGCCGGAGCCCAGACACGGCACCGCGGCCGAGGGGGAGCGTCTTGCACGGCCGCAACCCGGAGAACGACCGTGTCGACTACACAGCAAAGGCGCCCACCCTGCTCCGCGCGGGGAGCCCTCCGGAACGCGACAAGCGGAAGGCGGTGCGTGAGCCTTCCCACGCCTTTCTCCCGCGCGAGAGTGGGCGGCAGCCCGAGGAAGAGGTTGAAGACACCTGCAGTGTAAGCCGGGCAGGTGGAGCTTGCTAAGCCGCACCAGGTGTCCGCATGGGGTGAGGACGATACCGCGCGTCAGGGCTCCGGGAGCGCGAATGAATGCCGGGCCCCGCGTGGGCCTGCTCGGGGGGGGAAGAGTCGGGTGGTGGACCAGTTTTAAGACCGAACCCTGCGCCCAGGGAGCCAACCAATTCGTCTGCGATTCACTATAGGGAGCTCGCCACTTTCTCCCTCAGGGCGGAGAAGCCCGATTCCCGGCTCTGCAGCTGGTGGCAGGGCTGAACCACACATCACTGTGTCCACAAGACCCCACACCAGGCCCCACTTTTTAGTGACCCGGCTGGGTTATGGGCTAACGTCCCCTTCTTCCCTGGCTGTCTCTGGTGAGGAGCCCTCCTGGTCCAGCCTCGCACGCTTGGGTCGGGAACTGGTTAAAAGCAAAGGCCCCATCTCACGGTAAGACACAAACTTCCAGTGCACCTAAGCACCGAGACAAGCAGCGGCCCCTGAGTGCCCCGGCCCCCCTCAGGCACTGGGCCCAGTCAGTCCCTCACACCTCCAGGCCATCTCAATCCAAGGGAAATTCCATCAAGGAGCCTCCATAGGACCGCACACGCTGAGTATACACCGTGGTCCGGCCCCCACACCTCGGTAGCAAGTCGCAGGAAAGCCTGATAGAAAAGCTAGGAAGCAAGCAGGCAGACCCACGGGTCTGGGCCCAACGCGGCCCCCGCGGCTGGGTGAGCCTCCTACAGCTCCTGTGGACGGGCACACAATGAGCTTTTCCACAAGCAAATGAGCAGACAAAATGGTCGGAGGCACCCGAGCCCCCGCGGCCGGGCCCAGTGGCGCTCTCCACGGGCATGCAAGCTTACCGGTCAGCGCCCCCCCACCACAGCAAGGTGGGCCCTCTGGCACCCCCCCATGAGCCAGCAGGAAGACCCGCGGGGCCAGCACCCAACACGGCCTTCGAGACCTTTTGTGGGCCCTCTGGTGCTCCTATTACGGGGCCCTTGGGCACTTCCACGATCAAGTAGACAGACCCGCGGGTTGGGGCCCAACTCGGCCCTCATGGCCAGTGGACCCTCTGCGGCTCCTGTGGCCAGGCCCTCGGGGCTTCCACGAGCGAGCAAAGCAAGCAGGCAGACCCACAGGGTCAGCACCCAACGCGACCCTCCGCGGCTCCTGTGGACGGGGCCCTCAAGCACATTTTCCGCGAGTGAGCAGAGCGAACACACACAGGTCAGGGCCCAACACGGCCCTCTTTGGTCAGTGTAGCCCCTACGGCTTCCTGTGGACCGGGCCCTCTGGCACTTCCCCGACCGAGGATAGCGAGCAGGCAGACCCACGAGGTCGGCACCCCCACGGCCGAGTGGGCTCCTGCGGTCGGACCGGCCCTGGGTGCTCCCACCAGTGGGCCAGCCCTGAGGGTAAGCAGCTCCCGCGGGCGGACCCCCCAGCCGCCCCCCGGGGCACTCACAGCTCAGCCAGGAATCGCTTTGAGGCACACACCTCCCTGTATATCTGGTGGTACAATCTCCCAAGAACTGGGTGGAATTTTGAAACGGAGAGAACACCGGGAGCAATCGGATATGGCCTCCGGGTTCCTGGAACTCTGCCTCGGGCACCAAAGATCAAGTTTTAGCCCTTATATATCTTGCTCTGGAGACTATAGAAAGGTGGACCGCCCGAGGCTTCTTTGACGGGCCCCACAGGAGCTCCCAGAGCGAGCGAGCAGACAGACCCACGGGTCAGCGGCTACCACGGCCCCCGCGGCCGGGTGAGCCTCCTACGGCTCCCGTGGACGGGCCCACAAGGAGCTTCCACAAGCGAGTGAGCAGAGGGACTGGAGGCACCCCCGGCCGGGCGAGCCTCCCGTGGCTCCCGCGGACCAAGCCCCGCGGGCGCTCCCACAACAGCATCCCCACAGCCGGGTGGGGACCTCAGCGGCTCCTGCGGACAGGGGCCCCTCGGGCGCTTCCACGAGCGCGCAGGCAGACACCCAACTCGGCCCGGCCCCCACGGCCTTGTGGGTTCTGCGGCTCCTTGGACGCGGCCCTCGGGCACTTCCACGAGCGAGCAGGCAGACCCGCGGGCCGGCACCCAACTCGGCCCCCACGGCAGACCGAGCAGGCAGACCCGCGGGCCGGCACCCAACTCGGCCCCCACGGCAGACCGAGCAGGCAGACCCGCGGGCCGGCACCCAACTCGGCCCCCACGGCAGACCGAGCAGGCAGACCCACGGGCCGGCACCCAACTCGGCCTCCACGGCAGACCGAGCAGGCAGACCCGCGGGCCGGCACCCAACTCGGCCCCCACGGCCTTGTGGGCTCTGCGGCTCCTTGGACGGGGCCCTCGGGCGCTTCCACGACCGAGCAGGCAGACCCGCGGGCCAGCACCCAACTCGGCCCCCACGGCAGACCGAGCAGGCAGACCCGCGGGCCGGCACCCAACTCGGCCCCCACGGCAGACCGAGCAGGCAGACCCGCGAGGTCGGAGGCCCCCCACGGCCGGGTGGGCTCCTGCAGCTCCTGCGGACCGGCCCTTGGGTGCTCCCAGGAGCGGGGCGAGCCCCGGGGGTAAGCAGCGCCCGCGGCGGACCCCGGCGGTGCCGGCCCCGGCCGCCCCCCCGGGGCACTCACAGCTCAGCCAGGAATCGCCCTGAGGCACACACTTTTCTATATATCTGGTGGTACAATCTCCCAAGAACTAGATGAATTTTTGAAGCTGAGCCTAACCGGGGGCAATCTGATATCGCCTCCGGGTTCCTGGAACTCTGCCTCGGGCACCGAGATCAAATTGTAGCCCTTCCCTTGCTCCGGAGCTATAGAAAAGCAACCACAAGGTAGCGACTGCTAATGGGATACAAGTCAAACAAAGATGCATTTGAAGGGCGGGGGCGGGGGCGGGGGCGGGGGCGGGGTCAAGAGAGCACCGCTGCCCCCCAAGACCCCCAAATTCATCTCGTTCACCTCGGAGCGTCTCCTGTCCGGCTCTGAACAGGTAGAAAGTATCCAGCAAGGCCCAAGGCGACCAGCAGAGACCTCCAGGCTGG